TATTTAATATTTTCTTAATTCTTTCAAATATCTTAGGGATATACCTTATTTTAACAAAACTTTTCTCTTTATCTATTAAGTTTGATTGTTTATCTATTTCCAATTTTTTTAACCATTTATCCAATAGACTTTTTGGATAATCATTTAACATAAACATTTTTATTATTTCTTCTTCTTCTTTCTCTTGAGTTTTAATTTCACTAGTTCGTTGTCTTATTTTATTTATATACATTTTAAATATATTATATTTCATACTTATAGGTGTAATAGATTTATAATTAATTGTTTTTGGTATTTGTATAGATTTCACATATTTTTTATAAATTAATTTATCACTTTTTCACTCTATTGTTATATCTAGATAATTAACACTATTTTGTTTCTCTGTTTCTATTTCAAATTTAATATTAGCTTCATTTATAATTCTTTGTTCGTTCGTTTTCCTCGTATCATATATTATGATACAGTCATCTACATACCTGTTATAAAATTCTATGCCTTCTATGCTTTTAATTTTTTCATCTATTTGTATCATTGATATTTCAGTCAATTTTGGACCTATGCAAGTACCCATAGGTATTCCATTCTTTTGGGTATAGAATTTATTTTCGAACTGAAAATAGTTATTTTTAATTATAATTAAACATAATTTAATTATCCAACTAGGTATTTTAATTCTTAATAATGAAGAAATTAGTTATAACTATAATTAGGTTAAAAATTATTTATATTATAATCTATAAAAATTTTTAAAAATAGATTAAACTTATTAGAAGTGTCTAATTATAGCATTAGAAATGTAGATGAATTGTTAACAAGATTAAAAAATCTTACAATTAATAAATATATGAAATTAATATCTCTTGATATAGTAAATATGTATCCTAGTATCACAATAGAAGATATAGAAAACTCATTATTAAGAATTAAAACTCCTAGTTGGATAATTAAATTATGTTTAATTATAATTTAATTATACAACTAGTACGACTTTCGAAAGGAATTAAATAAAATTGCACTCCAAAATACGTGAACTTCTGCCCTGCTTGACTGTGGGTATCACTTAATACCCAGTAGTGTTTATATCTGGAAATCATGGGTTAATCTCCAGACATAAACACAACTGGAAGTGGAAAACACAGTAAAAACTAATTTATCCGACCATATCATATATTTCCATGTTTTGAATTATGCAATATTATACACGCTGTTTCATATTTAGAAGTGTGAATGTTTAAGAGATTTCGCTATAGCAGCCCTGCCATTTATACCGGTATTATCTCTATGCAGTACAGATAGGAGTTTTCACTAACACTAATATTTATTCACCAAAGATTATATTTTTTGGAAGTCTGTTAGGTCCGTAATATTCGCACTCCAAAAACAGGAAAATACATTTCTCAACACAAAAAGTAACAAAATTTTACGTACAGAGATATAAGCTACGTAAAAAAAACAAGGCGGTTCCTGAATTTGCACGTGTTTTAGGAAACGTTCAGTTTGACTATGCACAACAAAGGGTGTTCGATTTATTTTGTCCAACCTCTGTATAAGCAGCATATTAATAAATAATCTGAAAACTAATAAATATTATTGAAGTAACCTATTTGAAGAAACCTATGAAGTACACAATTTACATTTATTTAAAAGGGTCCTTAGCCATTTAAAATGATTTCTTCATGCCCTAGTTGTAGCTTTAATTATTCAAAAAAGCTAAGGAAATAATAGTATGGTGAGTAAATGTAACCTTTTTTTTTAATGCAAGAAATATCAATTCCTCCTATAAAAGATAGACGTTTGATTTAAATTTTAAACTTTGTGTAAATTTTATTCTATATTATTTGTCGATTTAATGAAATCTTTTCTTAAAGGCGTTTAATTGTTACTTCTATGGTTGCGTGGAAAGTTAAGAAGAAAACTCGAATATGATTACTTCTTGTAAATATTCTTAAGTTTCAAATTGAACATATCCTGGGTCAACGTCAAGTATATTTGTATATAAATATTATTGATTAATATTACCTAATAAATATAACTGAAGTCGTAAAAAAGACTACTGCACCTACGTCCAATATACTGTACTCTTTTACGATTTTAGATGATTTTATTATCTGAAAATGACAAATGTAATTAACTTATTTTTCTGATACTAGGAAGCAGATATGACAATTGTTCCATTATATATTACTTTGGATCGTTATTCTGCTGTGGAATTTTCTACATCAATAGCATTTCAGTCAACCGTTTTTATTGTTAAAGCTCCAGAAATGATTTCAAACTGGAAATCTATCGTAGCTCCGTTCTCATTTATGGTAAGAAATTTTTGTCTGAAAACTAATAATTTGACAGTGATTACAATATTTATGTATTCTAGATATGGATATTTATAATTGTCACTGTGATTGTATTTGGATTGTTTTTGCACAAAGTAATAGAAAGAGATTTAACTGCACAAGATATTCAAGTATATTGGCCAAGACATAAAGTCTTCTGGAATTTATTTTGCACTTTCTTGTATAAGGGTAAGATCATACATTACCTTCAGGCAATATTACCATTACTTTCTAAATTGAATTTTGGGTTTTCAGGAATGAATTTGAATTCAATAAAGAAATTCAGATCCAGATTTCTGATAGGAATATGGTGGTTGTCTATCCTCGTTCTAGTCTCTAGTTATAGCGGGACTCTAATGTCATTCATGACGTATCCTTTACATAAACCTGTTCCAAAAACATTCGATGAATTAGCAGCTTTCGTCATTAAAGGTGAATATTCCTGTGGACCACTCGGAAAAGGTGCTTTATGGCTGTCTATTCGCGTGAGTAATACTATCGTTCATAAGTATATAGTAATAAATAAATATTGAATATTTTCACATTATAACTTAGTAATCATCTTGTCAGAATTCGAAATTAAAGACAGCTGAAATACTACGAGATAACATCATACGAAACGACAACTTTTTAGAAGCTTCGAGAGCCATAGAGAGAGTAAAACAAGAGCATTTCGCTTTTATACAAAATAGATATGTAATGCGAAAGTTAATCAGGAAACAAGATTTACATAAATACGTAATCTCGAGCGACTCATTTGCTGTATTTAGTGAAGCTTACGGAATGAAGAAGGATTTTCCTTTTTCAAAGAAAGTAAACAATATGTAAGCCATAGTATTGTTTTCGTATTTTACTTATTTTAACCATACTTTGATATATTTATATAAAATTTCTTTTCTTCACAGCGTCCATCGTCTTCTCGAATCTGGAATCGTGGAAAAAATCGATTACTCTGAATATTCCAAAATGATGATACGTTCAAAATTTCAACCTTTAGCAATCGATGATATTATTAGCCCGCTATTATTACTCGTATTGGGTTACATATTGTCTCTTCTGTGCTTAGTTATCGAGATAATTTATACAAAATTAGTTGCTTAATAATTCTGCTGTAAATTTACTTAGTATTATTCACAGTTTTATCGAGTGTTTGCTGATTTATCCTACAAACTTTTTATTGCAGCATAAAGCTTCCAATGCAAAACTTTCTTTCTCTCTTCTTTAAATTTTGTCCATATTAATTTTTTACTAAGTCAGTAATAATGCACACGATTAAGATAGTTCAGGAAATGAACTTTTACCATTATGAAAAACTACAATAAAAATCTTGTATTTCATAGAATTAACACAAAATAAGAACATCGTTTTCTAAATTTTTAAAAAAATTTCAAAACGGAAAAGAAAAATAATTGATAATTCAGCACTCTTCTTGTATTGAAAAATATTGCATGGTGATCTCTTGGAAATGCATACTGATCTTTAGCATTTGGCATTTAAAATATTTTTTTTTCTAGTAAATAAAACAGAATTTACGAAAATCTTTATGTTGATCAACCTTTGACTTAAAAATAATGTAACCTAAAATCAATTATTAAACAAGAGTTTTCATTATTTTGTGCAATCTTGTATTTTCACTACGAATGAAATTAATGCTGTAGTACAATGGTTCCCAATTAGTGGTACGCATATTCCTGTGAGGTACGTGAAATTGCATGAAGGGGTACGCGCAGCAATCTAAAATCGGTCGACTTAAAACTTAAATGCATCAGATGAAGCAATTAAAAAATAATGGGTGGACCATCAAGAATTCGGCAATTTACAACATGTTGTCGAATACACAAATTCTTTTATTTATAACTAAAAATATTCTCAGAATTTCATCAAAAAAAATGTATTTGTGACAATACCTGAATGAAATTCTTACGCAAGAAACAAAAATTGTACAATTAACATAATAATGTTAATTGTACAATTATCATTATTATCATATCAGCGAAGCGGCAATAAATAATTACTACCATTTTGCACTACATATCTCTGCGAGAGCGGATTTTCGGCCATGACATCTAAACATCGTCACCGATGTCAACTCGAAGATGACTTGAGACTGAAGCTGACCAAAAAGCAACCAAATTTTACAAAGTTGTGCAAAGAAAATTGTTCAAATTTGTCGTATTAAAATTAAATAATTTTATGTTATTTTCATTATTATCAGAATAGTATTTTAAAGGTAATAAATGTAAAAAAAAAACTTATTTTATTTATCACTAGCTGTCTGTCACTACCCACAGCTTCTCCAGCATTATATTATATTTTCTCGCAGTAAAATGTAACCTATGTCCATCTCCAACATGTAAGCTATCTTTATTCCAAATTTTATTAAAACCTGTTCAGCCGTTTAGACGTGAAAAGGTAACAGACAAATAGCCATAATTACCTTCAAATTTATAATACTAGTATAGATTAAGCGATTTACTTAGAGATGGCGTAAAATTTAAATTCGGTCCAGAACAACCAGAAGCATTTCAAAAGTTGAAGGACATACTATCACAAAGTCCAGTTCTCTATATTTTCAAGCGTGGTGCTCTATTAGATTTATATACGGATGCAAGTTGCCTCGGGTTCGGAGCGGTTTTGCTACTACAAGCTGACAACGGAAAGTATTACCTGATCGATTATATGAGAAGGAAAACACCATCTCAACAAGAAAAATATAACAGTTACAAGTTAGAAGTACTCGCGGTAATTGAGGAATTGAAAAAATTTCGGAACTATTTGTTGGGTTCCAAATTTAAAATAATTACGGACTGTGCTGCTTTTTAACGAACACTCAGAAAGAAGGAGCTTACTCCAAAATTAGCAAGGTGGTCTTTATTACTTGACTAATTTGACTATGAAATTGTCTGTAGGAAAGGCACCATATGAAGCATGTGGATGCACCAAGCCGCAATGCAGTTTTACTAATTACGCGTTCATCCGACTAAATAACAACAAGAATTATTTCTGCACAGGATACTGATGAGGATATATAAAAGCTCTTAAGGATTCAGCGGGAAAAGGAGAGACAAATGACTATGTACTGAAAAATAATGTTTTATATAAATACGAAAACGTATTAGAACTGTACGTTGTATCCAAATCGATGCAGATTGACATAATCAAACACATACATCGGAAAGGTCATTTTGCAACAGCGAAGACGGAGGATCCTCAAAAATGCAATTTTTATATCCCAAACGCTAGAAAACACATAGAAATGTCATACTGAATTGCGTCGACTGCATACTATATAATAGGAAAAGGGGAAAGGTGAAGGCCTATTAAATCCCATACCAAAAGGAGACAGTCCTTTGAGCACATACCATGTAGATTTTCTCGGACCACTACCCTCAACGAACAAAAACTACCAGCACGTATTAACGGTAGTAGATAGTTTTACTAAGTTCGTGTGGTTTTACCCCGTTAATCAACAACTACACGAGATGCTTTGGATAAGCTGAGGATCCAACAAGCGGTATTTGGAAACCCGTCTCGTATTGTCTCGGATCGTAGTGCTTTTACGTCCAAAGAATTTAACGATTATTGCACCAACGAGATGATTGAGCACATTACGATTGCCACAGGTATTCCTAGGGGAAATGGACAGGTAGAACGTATGTATAACACCTTGATCCCCGTTTCGGCAAAAAACTCGCCCAAGAAGACGCTACAAAGTGGTACAAATATGTTTCGGACATCCAAAGAATCATCAACAGTACGCCAACGCGTAGTACGAGATAAACACCTTTTGAAATTTTGGTCGGTACCAAAATGAAAAATAAACAAGATCTAAGAATAAAAGAGATTGCGGAAGAAGAATTTTTAAATTGTACGATGCAAGATAGAGACAAGATTCGAGAAGATGCCAAACAAAACATCTTGAAACTACAGGAGGAAAATCGTAAATCCTACAATAAGAAAAGAATACCAGCTCCCAAATATCAGGTCAACGATCTTGTTGCCATTCAGAGAACTCAGTATGGGACAGGACTCAAACTAAGACCTAAGTTTTTGGACCTTACAAAGTTACCTCGACGATGCCTAGGGACAGATATGCGGTTGAAAAAATTGGTCATCATGAAGGACCCAATGTGTTTGTTACTGCAGCTGACCACATGAAGCCATGGCCCATTGTTCTTGACTGACATCAAGAACTTTTCCAGAACATTTCTAACCATGTCTTTCTTCTTGTGTTTAATGTGTTTTTTGTACAAGTGTTTTTAGTCTTTCGTTAATCTCTCCGAAAAAGGGTGAAACGCGATCTGCCGACGAGAGGTGAAGAAGGAGGCCGGTAGGGGGAGTCGAGTAGAGAGAAGACGACGGTTAAAAAAAAACAAGAAAGAGAACATCACGAGAGAAGCGAGACGACTGTTAAAGAAGAACGCGCGGAAAGACAAAAGACGAAAAAGAAGTCCTACATTTGTTTCCCATAATAATCACAATATTTTTATGTAATTGGTATTCTTTAAAACGTTCCTGTTATCCAAATTGTTCTTATCGCAATTAAAGTTTTTCAAAAACAAAAAAAAAGTCTAACATATATTATGAAGACTTACACAAAATGTATTTATAATTGTTTAATTTAAAAATTTTAACTACACAACTATTGTATTAAATAGATATAAACAATAGGTTTCTAATTGCTCGACCAATAAACAAAGCGGATGTGTCATTTTTTTGTTTACTGTACGTCCCAAGTTACGAGAAATAGAATATAAAACAGTTATTTATAATTTTTCTGTGTTATTAAAATGCACAGCTGTTCTCTAGCTATTCAAACTGTGAACAATGATTTTAATTTTAAAATTTATTTTGATGTCACAATAGACAATTATTATATAAAACCCAAGTATTGTATAAAAGCACGAGATTTGCATTATTCTGAATAACACTATTCTCGATAAAACATTAATTTATAATAAAGTTTATTAATAATGTTCGATTGAAATAACTTACAACTGTGCAACTATTGTAATATTTTTTAGATATGAATACTACAATTGTATATTCCAGCACGGTATCTAAATTTAAAAAAGAAATTATGGCCTACTTCAAAAAATAGTAAGTTTCGTGAATAGCAATATTGAATGTAATAGAATCTGAATTATAATAAAAAAACATTAAAAATATTTAAGACCATGCAATCAATATATTGAAATCATTTTGAGTTATAAACGCATTTCTATCATTTGGTGAAAATTTATAGCGATTTCATTATTGTTTTTCCTTCTGCATGAAGGTCCGTGCAGACCAAGAGAACACATAAACGTCCGAAAGAATATTTCGGACGATTAATGGAAAATGGAACGTGGACTGAAATGGTAGGAAGAGTTACAAGAAAGGTAAGTAAAATAATTATATATTATACTAAATTGAAATATTTATCGTCGCATTAGATAAACTTATTTACGCATTTATAAACAATTTGTTTTTATTTATTACTACACACGATGAAACTTTTATTAATTTATCCAGTATAATATCAAGAAAACCATTCGTATGTAAGAAAAAAATGTAGTGAAATGTTTTTCTTCTATATGCTGATTAATTAAATCTTGCAATTAGATTAATTAAGAGACCGATTTAATAAAGTAACACAATGTAACAGAAAAGCGATCGGATATTATGATAAGTAGGCCTATATTTAACTATGGTTACTGTACAAGAAAAAGTATATTTGTTTATTATAAAAATATATACTAAATATTAGCTAAAGGTTAATGAGAATTAAAGTAAATTGTATTTTAATTCTATAGTAAAGATTTTTTTAAATTTTAATTGACTTATGTCTAGTAAATTCGTGTAATTTGATTGGTAGTAGCTTCGAAATCAGTGTTGTTAAGACATTGGTATTTACATGTGCCTTGTTTATACCAACTAGGCACATATTGTTGTCAAACAATGCCTTGATCAAAAATCTGTATAACAATACTTCTCTAAACTCGTTACTCTCTGTTTAGATAAACCGTATATTTTTGGACAGTAAATTTGTTTCAAATACTCTGGAAAATTCAGTGTTATCTGATTTCATTTATTTTGAATTGACCTGCAAAAAGTTTCTATAAGGAATTAGCCAGTATTTAAAATTAAGATACGTGACAAAACTCAGCAAATTGCATGCATAAGCATGCTGTCAGACACATCTCTATGACCTGCCACCAGTATTGAGTGATGTTTTCATGTAGTCATCAGTAAAAGTTATAGAAAATCACATTTCTATTGCACTGATAGGTTTACATCCCAATTAAAATAAGTGATAAACAAGGTTATAAAGTTCATATTTAGATTAAACCCCGCGCTGTTTATTTTTTCTAAAGGCAATTTTAATTCTGAAAATACTTTAAGGAATTAAAGTGTGTAATATAAGTTGTACACGGAGATCAATATAATATTGGCACAATTTACATAGAAAAATTAATTGCTATGCCAAACATGAATGAAATTTTTAATAGTGAAATTTGGATATATTTAGAAAATCAAAACAAACAGAAGGAAAACACAGGAATGAGACAAAATAATCCGAACAATAACAAAAAATTACTTTTTGTTTATTATCTCCAGACATAAACACCGCTGGAAATGAGAAACACAGTAAAACTTGATTTATCTCACCAGAT